CCACCCAAACCCCACGTGGTGTCCAAGGAGTCGACCGAATCGTTGCTGAAGTCTTAGAGCTCGCTCGCGAGGCGCCGGGTGCCTTATTGCAGGGGCTGTCGGATTAGTTTGTGGCTTTGAGGTCGTAAGTCTCTAAACCGATGTACTAGTATCTAGACTTTGTAAAATGCCCCGGAGTATTAAGTTGTAGTTCTAAGGACCTTAATTGGCTGCAGCCGTAAAAAAAAACAGAAAACACGGCCTGATGTTGCTTCCGATGTCGGGTGAACTGGCGGACGAGTCTGAGAGTTAGCTGCGGAAACCCAAAACAGCGAATTTTGAGGCTTCTGAGTCCCTACATCCAGAGGCCTGAAGCTCATGGTGCAGTGCAGCGTGTTTTTTTTGCGTAACTTGGAACTTGTATATGTGCTACTGAAGCGTGGGGAGTAAACCAATTGGTCATATGCAGTTTGTGCGCGCGGTGGTGCCGCATGCTGAGACTTCTTTAAACTTATTCGCTTACAATGGTGGCATGATGTCTCGAATCCTTATCACTTTTCCTTCGCATTCCTTTTGCTTTGTATTTCAACTCTCTGGACTCTCTTTGCACACCTTCTCAGCTTCATGACCTTTGGAACGAGTATAAGATTCTAGACCTCTAGCGACACCGTAATCCTTGGCAGGAGTTCCGGGAGCGCATGTCTAACGTAGACGACTGGGGCTGGCGCGGCTTTGGCTGCGGCTGGGTCTTCCCGAGGTGCTTGGCAGCGGAAGGCTCTAGACTCTAGATGAGAGAGAACTTAAGCGATCAGGGGACTCAGTAACTGCAACTTTATAGCTAGAAGTATGCTCATAAGAGCTATATGAGTGACTTATAACTGAAGTTACCTTCCTCACCCTTCTTGCCAAGTCCCGGGCTCCGTTCAGCAGTGGGTTTGGGAGGTGTATGCTCTCTGGGGCTGTGAGACGCCGGGTAGTTTTGGATAGTGCATGTGTCAGGAGTTGAGGTTGGTGGGGTTTGTCGATGGGGCTTGACTGAAAGGCTTGCAGGTTTCCAGGACTGGACTCGAGCGTAGATTCTAGATATCAACTAATTGTTTTTGTTTTGGGGGGTTCAGACATCAAAGGGCTCGGGAGCAGGCCACTGTTTACTTCAAATTTATGGCTCGGTCGTTGCAGGCTTGCCTTCAGGGTCATCGACCCCCCATGCACCATGCACCCTCAGTAATCCAAAGATCCTTAGCTCCGGCTCCATACGCCCAAGAGTCCAAGAGGTCAGCAGAGATGTACAGCCACCCCCACTACCTGGCCTTCATCCGCGAGGAGACATGCACTTTTCGGGATGGGAGGAAGTTGCGTGTTTTGCAGGGGTTGAAGATGTGCGCAAGAGCCAGGGTCCCGTGCGCTGTCATCGACGATGCGGCCCCGACCAGTAAAGCCAATAAGTACTTGGAGGATCATGGGACTTAGTAAGTGAGGTTATAAGTACCTTAGTTGGGGTTATAAGTATTGTTACCCTAATTATAACCCTAGTTACTAAGTCCCATGATCCTTTAAGTAGAAGTCCAGACCTGCGAGGACGGCTCGACGGACCCGCCAGAGCTGCCTTTCCGCCTCGACAGGCATGCATGCTGGGCTTCTTTTTCATAGCCAGCAATTTCCCGAAGTATACTGCAGCATATAAGTTTATGCATGTGATTATACATGCATGTGTGTGCACATGAAGATTTGGGTATCTGTAATCTCTTTTGCTCGTATTTGGCGTCATCAGTGCACCATTTTAGACACAATACACGTCCTTGTTACGCTCGAACCCCGTTTAGAATCCGCATACCCTCGAAAGCGAAACCCTCATAATCGAAACCCAGAGGCTTCTCGCCGGCTTGCAGCGGTCCGTCCTGCCATACCTGGAGGACATGCTGGCCACTTACCTGCACTGGCTTGCAGCATTGTGAAAGGCAATTCGGGGATTCAGGGTTTAGAGGTTGGGAATCTAGGGAATCTAGGGGTTCCGCATTTTGGATTCGTTTGTTCCAGGGTTTCAGCGTGCTTAGGGTTATGGCTTCTGCTGATCGGTTTTGTCCTGCGACCTGCTCGGGTTGAAATGCTTGAGGTTGAGGCGTAATTAGGATCTAGTTCCATGTAGGCTCTGGGATTGGATTGGATTGACGCTAACGCAGCTGGGAACTGTTCTGAAGTTGATTCTTTTTGAAAATGTGAGGTTGTTTTCTCCGAAACATGTCTTGGATATAGTCCAGAAAGCAGACAGCATCGCGATGGGTCTGAGATTGACTTCCGTAATGAGTTGTGGGTGTAGGGAAGTTTCAGATGAGTTGCTCATGGTCCTGGGCTTATGGATTCAGGTGTCGCAGGGATATTCATGCGAAGTTGCCTTACAAGAAGATCACACGCCAAGCTCTGAACGACCAGCCTTAGCCTTGAACGTAACCTGAACCTCCATCCATAGCCCTATAATCGTACCTGCTCCAAAAGCCAGAGCTCCAATGCACTCAAGAAAACACCATGCTCCGAGTCTTCATGAGGAGCATGGCCTTGATTACGAGCCGGGCTCCTTGGCGGGCGCGCTGCAGATTACCACTGCCATCGCGCACTACTATCCGGACGCCACGAAGCAGGAGATCGGAATTCCGTTCATTCCGCTGGTTTTGAGACTGTTGGTTCCAGAAGGTGCCGGAGAGTAAAGTCGGAAATTCTGAGCCAGGAAACGCCCAAGGCCTAAAGCAGTGAACACCCAAACCCCATCCATAATTTGGCTGCTCAGCCGCCAAACGATAAAACAATCCCGTCCGAAGACCGGCTCCTTCGTCGGTTAAACCTAGAAACCTGAAGAGAGGTAGGCTGCAGGAGACGCTGCTGACGCATGCTGCGTTCCACTGCGACGACTCTTTCTTGACTTTGACGCTTGGTCCATGGTTCGGTGGAGATTCGGGCCTAAACCCAGGCACATGCTACACTACTGCCGAAAGCCGAGATCTTCCAGTTTTGCCAAGGCCCTGGATTCTAGGCTCTGGCAATGGGGGAAGGCGTCATGCATGTCAGCAAACGGAGCCAAAGTTTTTGCGAGATATCCGAACCCTGTCATCAAGTTAAAACATGCGACATGCGCGTGAGCGGCACCACCAAACCTTCCTCGCGCCTGCACCGCTAGGGACATTGGTTCTGACGTCCAAGGAGTTGTTAAGATTCCCTGCTTTGTTGTGTTAACTTAATATCAATATACAGTCTTGTCGGGGATCTGAGGGTCTAATGAATCCAAGCAGCCGAGGAAGCAAAAAAACCTGGATGGCCCGTGATGTCCCACCCAAGACGTCATTGAGCTTATGTTTCGGTGTGAAGGTGGTGGCTTTTGACTTGGCAGAATCAGTGCCCGTGCCCGGAAGATCTACCCTCCGAGCAAGCAAGCACAGGAACCTAGAGACCAATCGCGGAATCCACGGGCTACAAAGCTGGCCGGAAGGAGCTGCACTAAGCGCCCTTGTCTGTAAGGGTTGCTTGAAAAGTTACCTTTTCAGGGCGAGGCTGCTCGGGATACTGGCTCTGAAGACCGTCACTACAGGCGGCATAGGCTCTGGGAATTCAGGGCTTCGAGTTCAGTGTGTCTGTGTGCCTGTGAACGACAAGCCACTTTTCGGCATCCGCCATTCGACATCTTCTGGTTCTAAAACGTTGACAATCATGCCACATTCCTGTTTTGTAGGACCGCAGATTCGACGGTTCCAGTATGACGACGAGGCCACTTAAGCCGAACCCACAAGTTACGGGAGAACAGCAATACAACAGGATGGGACGTTTGATCATTTGACCTTGCAAGTCACGAGGTTGCTTTCTTAGCTGATTGACTGCTGGCATCGCAGTGCAGCATTCATGAATCCTGCAACTTAGAGCTGAGTATGCGGCTGCAGTATGCTACAGTTCTAGACTTACAAACACTGATGCTTGATGTGGTTTTGGATGCAGGGGCTGCAGGATGGCGATAAGGAGCCTGCATAGTGTGATAGTGCTTCCTGCTTGAGGCGAACTCGTCGGTGATGAACCTTTTCGTGGGTGGTACCTTGGCAAGTGTACCAGGGTTCTGGCCTGTGCTGGGCAAAGAAGAGTAGCCGGACGGGGGTGTCCGTTGTCGGGCATGGGGTGAGGGAATCGAATTCAGAGCAGCTCTGTGCCCTTGAAAAAGAAGGCCCCAGAGCCTGGACTTGAACCGTGCAAGCTTACATCGGTCGATGAGTTTGAGGCCTGCTTATGTGAAGCTTTGGGGACGTTGACATGCCTCTACTTGTGATTAAGGCCCTCACGAAGGCGTTAACTAGTACTCTTCGTCTGCGTATGGGAACAAAGGGGAACGGCTCACTTGACACCACCGCAGCTCAGAGCTTTTGCCTACAATCCATTCGGCTTGAGCCTGGAAAGGTCCTTTGTAGCAACCGGGAAGCTCACAATTCTCAAGTTGGAAGACAACGGGTAAGACGACAGGTGGGGCCAATTGAGTGCCGGCACACAACTCTAGCCGACTCGAGCCCAGCAGACAAGTCACGATCTCCCGTGACAGATCCTCGCCCGATGTTGGAGCTAAGAGATCTCTTCGAGTTCTCATGAACTCTCCCAGGTTTTCCAAAACTATTGAACTGCACCACCCGCACCACCAGCTTCTGTACACGTAAATCAGAAGTAGGACTCCAGACACTGCTTGAATAAGACCGTTCTTCCTTGCCGCAGCCAAGGCTATCTCCAAGCCCTCTCTCAGGGCCGCTGGCGGAGCCTGTTACACTCAGGCGGGGCGTTGCTTTGACATCATCTCCGTTTAGGTGTATGTCATTGGGGTGCTCCTTAAGTTCTGTGCAATGCATGGGTATGATCCAAGAGACCAGTCTCTCGCAAGAGCTTGAAACGGGAATCTATTCTAAGCCTATGATCGTATGGCGCGAAGACTTGAGGATTCTGCATTTCGATCTCGCTTTGGCTTGGTTTCAGCTTTGTTTCTCATGTCAGACACTACTTGGGCCATGGCTTTGTGGCCGCATAGGCTACAAAGGGCTGCTACATCAGCCCGAACATTGGCTTCAACGCAGAGAGATGCAGAGGTCATATTGGATATTTGCCAGGAGGTGTTGCCTTTTCTCGCAGCACACACGGATTCAGTGCATGAGGTAAAGGAGAAGAACCAGCGACTGCGCAGCATCCTGAAGAAACTGCATTGGCCGAGGCTACGGTCGTTTGAGGTCAACGGCAAGGTGCATCACTTGCCTATAGATGCGCCATGTGGAACATCGCCTGCACAGGCTGCGCCTCCCACGACGACGCTGGAATATTTGACTGGATTTTTTGATGGTGATGGATGCGTAACTGCCGATGGGAAAGCACTGTCAGGATGCCGTGTGTCGGTGGGCCAGTCTGTGCAGAGAGCTGGCGTGCTTCTGCTGTTCCAAGAAAGGTTCGGTGGAAGGATCATCCGCAATTGTGACGGTGTAGGACTCTGCCAACCAATGCTGGCATGGGGTGTGTGTGGAGAGCGTGCTAAGAGGGCATCCCATGCGCTAGCGACCCACAGCATCACGAAGAGGAAGCAGCTTCTCCTTGCCGCTGACTGGCCGCATGATCGGCATTGCCGAGTGGCGTTAACATCTGAGTTGCATGCTTTGAAGCAGCAAGATTCCGCCACACCACGCCAGTGCACGCTGGAGTACTTTACCGGGTTGTTCGATGCTGACGGGTGCATTAAGATTTCCACAAACGGTGCTCTTTGCTTGCAGATTGGACAGAAGTTTGCAAGTGTCTTGCAATGCTTGCAGGATTTCTTGGCTCGGGACTTTGGCATTGATTCTCAGGTTCAATCCTATGGCAGTATCACACGCTTCTACATCAGTCGTACGTCATCGTGTAAGCATGTCCTGCAAGCTATGTTGAGGGCAGGCCTGAGGTGCAAAGCAGAGCAGGCACAGCTGGCTTTGGGCCTCACATCGTCGAATGCAGCAGAAGTCCGGTCTGCCATGTCTGAACTCGCTGGCAACCAGAGTTTCGGGAAGAAGCTGGATGAGGATGGCCTGCACAGATCTCGATTGATTCGCAACGCACATGGGCAGGCTAGACGGTATGAGCGGCAAGGGAACTTGATCGACACCCGCACGAAGTTGCAGGAAATCACTGCTATGAAAACCGAACACGAAAGATGCAATGCTAAGTTTGAAAACCTGCAGCTGAGCGAGTACATCCGCAAGATTCACCATCGCCATCGAGAAAGCCATGTCAGCCAGGACGCTTCCCCTTGTTGAAAAATAGTCGCGCATGACTGTACCGAAAAGGAAGATGCTGTTGCGCATGCGAGACTGAACTGGAGACATCTCCCGGCTATAGCTGCACGTGGATGATCTGTTTTAAGTTTGTGCAGGAAGAAGCAATAATAGGTAGAACAATGACCGGCTCACGACTTCCGCTACTCGGAAACGCACCCTCCTGATCCCTACCATGCCCCCCCGAGTTGTTCTTGATGCAAGCCCGATTCGTATACACACACACAGACACACAGACACACAGACACACAGACACACACAGAGACACACAGAGACACACAGAGACACACAGAGACACACACAGACACACACAGACACACACAGACACACACAGACACACACAGACACACACAGACACACACAGACACACACAGACACACACAAAAACACAAAAACACACACACACACACAGACACACACACACACACACACACACACACACACACACTCGACGTTTGAATTGCCAGGCTCGAATCCCAGCAATGCTGCTTGGCGTGACTTGGGAGCTGTTGCATCAGGAGCAAGTTCGAAGCGGCCAGCCAAGGAATTGATCTGATCTCCTCTTGACAGACCCTTCCAGATTGAATCCGCGTAGCAGCGTAAAGAAACCATCCATCACCTTGCGCACAGGAATGGTTCGAAGCCAGCGCACCCGGCCCTTTCTCTTCCCGGCCCAAGGAGGATCGGCTGTCGCTGACGCTGTTCCTCGGTATCCCGCAGCTCCATGAGGCTTGAGGGCTAGGATTCAATTGCAATTGAGTTGAAGCTTGCCTTTCGATAGGGCCTGCAAACACGGCAAGCGGCAGCCAGACTTCAAATCTTGTAAACCCCATTGCGGTAAATTGTTGAAGCCTTATACAATCATTGAATCTGAACTCTACACATGAGAACCGTTTCTGGATCTGTTTTCGCTGCAGGCCGCACGGGCCCAGCACGAAGGCACCCGTGGTGAACAGGAGCAGCAGGTGGACCAAAGTCTTGTTTTGTCTGTCTAGAGGGTGGAGGTGCGTAGATTTGTTGGGGGGCTCACGTCGTTGAAGATGGGTTCATTTGTATAGTAAGAGGGCTTTCGAGGTGGCATGGGTTGCATCTACAGCAAGCGGAGAGGACAGACATCATGAGCACTTTGCGAGATTTATGGCTGTGAACATCTCCGTATATACACGTGCTTCCCAACCTGTACATGTACCGCTGCGCCTGCAAACACACGCGCGCACACACAACATGCACACCTTGCTCTCAGCGAATTGAAATCTTTGAGCTTACCCCGCCACCCCAACGCCCAGTATGCAAAGCCATACACACGACACCAAGCCCCGCCACCCTAAAACCCGAAGCTAAACTCAGCGAAAGCCTTTCAAAAGTAAGACTTAGCGACTTAGCTTCAGGTTACAAATTACACCAATCTAAATTCGGACCCTTGGAAGCTGAACCAAGCCCACTTCTAAACCTTTCAGTTCTAAACTAAAACCCACCTGAAAAAGAAAAGCGAAACCTCAGCAACTGGTGAAGCCAGGTCTTCAAAAACCATTCATGCAGACGGTGTATTATATTTATCTGTCTATATATATATATATATATACATATTATATATATATATAGAGAGAGAGGGAGAGAGACATAGAAACATACATATACACATAGATGTATCGAACACTGATAAGCAGCCAGGTCTTCAACTGGTTCGGCCAGGCCGAGCACTTGGATGAATGGTCGGCCGGCGCTCGGTTCGACGAGATCCAGGAGGGAGGGCGGACAGTTGTCGGGGTTATTCTTGCACTAAACCCTAAACCCTAAACCTTTGGGTGGGTTGTGTTTTGTGGGGTTTTGAGGGTTATGTAAGTTCTATATAGCAAAGGTTACGATCATGAATACTAGTAGATTCTAGCCATAATGGGTGTATTTGGCTGATTTTTGTTTAGGGTTGGGTTCTTGAAGATTTACGATCGGGATTACTATAAGGTTGTAGGGGCCCTGAGACGTGTTTGGCAGTTTTGAGTTCTGACCGATTTACGGCTTGAGGGTTCAGGGTTCCAAATATGTGGTCTAGGGCTTAATTAGTGGCTTGCGGTTAGAGAAGGGGGGTGGCTAGACGGGGTTGTGCATGCAGGTGGGAGTTCGGGATGTATAGTTTTATCTAGAGTTCCAGTATATGGCTTTCAGTTTAGGTTTTCGAGCGTGGTCGTTTCGACCTAGAGCAAGTAACTGGTGATCCGTATCCGGGGCCGCGATCACAGACCTGAGAACGTGACTCCTTGGACCATCCTGTTGTGGGTGTCTTTTGATTCATTACCCAAAGGAAGATTTCTATCCCAAGCTTTGCAGTCCTGGCATTTCGCTTTTGGAGGACATGTACACCCATGGCGACGGCTTTCGGGAGTCGGTGCAGAATCTGCGTCCTGGCTCGTGGCTAGTTCTCTCAATTGGGGGTCCCTTTTAAGAAGGTCCTTGTTACAAGGAGGTCCAACAGTCTTTGGGGCCCAAATGACCTAAAGAAATATTCAGAGAGCTACCCATGTATTTTCGAAGCCACCCCTGGCTACGGCTTCCAAAGAAGCCCCTGAAACCGTACACCACAAGTTCATCCATGAAATACTCTAAACTCCTCAACTCTAAACCCTAAACCCTTAACCAGAAACCCTGAGTCAAGAGTCAAAAGCCCGACCCAGGCTCAGCAGAGCCAGGCCATTTCCATCCAAGACGCGGGCACGACAATGGCAGGCTGCCCGAACCCCACTTCCTCCACAAGCTTGAGTCCATGACCGCAAGCTGCTGATGCAGTTGCTTTGGGGTCTCCTTGAGCTTGCTGTCCTTGTACTTGCCTTTGGTTACTCGGGAATGGAAGAATGGTAGTAATAGTAGTTATAAGTTATAATTGTACCCCCTTCCTCCATTCCCTACTAACCAAAGCTAAGTGTAGGATCGTCGTCTGGCATCGACTACAGCCCCGAGCTCAAACCTCCAGGCCGCCAGGCCCCAATCCTGAGTCCCTGCTCCTCTGCTCCCTAGTCTAAAATCTACTTTAAACTCTGCTTCCCAAGAGCCCCTCTAAACCGTAAACCCTCCTAGATTCCCATGCAACCCTACACTCTAAACCTTAAACCCTAAACCCTCCTAAATTCTCAACCCCAAACTTCCTAAATCCTAACCCTTTTTACAGTGGCGTGCAGGCGGTGGCCAACGCCCGAGCCAAGGCTCAGCAGTAGGTGGTTTTGTTCAGGAGTTGCAGTGTAGGGTTGCGGGTTTAGGGTTTAGGGAGTTGTAGTTTGGATACTGCCCCCGCTCAGTAACAGCTGGATAATATTCGTAATATAGTTATACGTATATTAGGCCCTTTATGGTTGTAGACTGTTACTGTATTGGGGCAGGGTCCCAGGTTTTTTTTTTTGCGGTCGGAGTCCGAAGCTACGGCGAATTATCGATTCCGAAACTCTGCAATCCTCGCCCTTCAAGCACAAAGGTTCACAAGCTCTCCAACTCCGTGGTTACAGGCATGCCTTAGGGAGCCCGAAGGTCTTGAAGTTTCATTTTTCTCTAACCTCGGGCTTGCTTTCGCCAGCTCCGCCGTGTGCCCGCCCTCGCAGCGACGGCGGCCTTCTGCGCCCCTGGGGGGTCTGTCGGCGCAACGAGGGCGCGGTCTCTGTGTTTCGTCGAGCGGGCTTTAAACTTGCAAGCGCTTTTAGGATACCGCAGAGGTTACAGCTGCAGGGCATATTGAACGGTTTTCGGGACTTCAGTGTCTGGGCTTCTAGCATTCATATTTTGCTTTCTGCGTTCAGTATGACGTGTGGAGCTGTCAAAAAAGTTGGTGGACTTCTCTCTTTCTACATGGATCGTTATTGTGCTCACGTTTATGTGCAATGTGCCTCCGCTGCTTGGGCGGCATGTGGGACGGCCAAGATTCAGTAAGCTGGGTATCATCAGTCTCGGCGAAAATCTGCTGGTGGGCATCGTTGCATGTATTAGCGGTGTGTAACCCTCCAGCATAGATTCGAATTTTCGCCGGAGTCGGCATCCTCTCTCGTCAGGCGGTATTGTCTTATATTCCGAATATTGACAGGAGAAGCGTAACCCGCCAAAAGTATGGAAACTCCCAGAGCACTGCACCGGACCACATTGAAGACAACGCTTGCCCTGCTTGTCAGTCCTTCTCTGCTCTGGCGGCTGGAGCTGCGATATTCGTCCTGCGGAGGCGCAGTTCAGGTTATGTGTCCAATCTAGGGTCATAGGCCTTGTGTAAGCTCAGAGTTTGTGGGTCCACGTGCGATAGATAGAACGATCCTGGACAACTGTAGCGTGAAGCAGCTTTAATGATTTTAATGTCTTCCGGCCTCTGTCAGGTCAGCCTTGCGAAGGTGAAGCCATCGAGGCCTCTCACACTATGAGCCTGCGAGCCTGCGCCGCGGCTCGGACACTTCGTCCGCTATACTTTGCCGAGCTTCAGAAGGAAAGAAAAGTCGTGCGTGGGCTTCGGTTGTGGTGGGCTGATGCCACATCGCCAGGTGTACAAACCTGGGTTCGGTCTTTGGTGAGGCATGGCCGACACTGCTGGAGTCAGAAATAACACGTATCGTTGTCGTTCGGCTGATAGTTCACTCTAGCATGCATTAAAAGCAGTGACGACCATGTGTCGAAATCTCGGAATCGTAATATTGTTTCGCTCCCCTCGCAGGTGAAGAGTAAAAACGATGCGGTGCAAGTTACCGTGGATTCCGCAGAGAATGCCAGGAAGGCGCGCGGGTCCAATCACTGCGCATGGAAGATCATGTCGTGGCAGAGCTTCCGACCTGAGACAGGCACTTACCATATGCGAAACTTCACCAAAACCGGCTGCGAACACAGAGTCATAGGGTCCATGTGGCAATCGACAGGAAGTGTCAGGCTTTTGGAGACTCATGTGTAGTTTTCAGTAGGCCATGAGCAAAAAGCATGCAGAATCTACCATCCTGCATCTTGATCTCTGTGAGCAGCTCATTTCTACA